GCAATCGATCTCCCTCTTGCCTTAACTGTCATGAGGCTTTACCTTCATACTCTCGCCGTTGTCAGGTCTATTTAAAAGAGCGGGAAACCATTACCCCAAAGGGGACAGAAGGTCTCCCTTATGCCATGGCAGTTTTTTCATCTCCGCCTCCAAGGGAGACTCCCACGTGTTTCTTATTCCCGTGTTTCCCAAAAAGTCCCCCACTTCTTTGGTATCCCATCTTTACACCCACCTCTGTGGTTCCTCTCCCATAATCACTCTGTATCTTTAAACCTTTTGCTGTCCTCGGCTCAGACGTCCTACTTCAACACCTCAGTCTAATCTTGCTTCTTCGAGTTCTCTCTCACAAGCCTCAGTATCGACGAGACCTCGTACGACACCACCTCCCAAAGTCCCTCTACTTCTAAAAGTCAAAAAAAGGTCCGTTAAAAACCCCCTACCCATCTTCCCCCTCCCCATTTACCCTCCCTGTCTCTGTCCCTGGTTCTTTCCCTCTCACTGGCTCAGTTACAAGTGTAGAGGTTCACCCTCCCCCTCGTACTGTACCTTCCTCCCCTGTTCCCCCCCAAGTTTCTTCCTCTTTGCCACCTCCCAGGTTCCTACCTCTTCTGTCCCCCGCCAACGCTTCTCCAGTTCCCTCCACCCTTTCGCCCCCCCCTACCTTGGTACAGTCCAATACAGTTCCAATCTTTACTCATCCTCCCCTAGACATCTTGAATTCCCAAAACACTTGAAGCAATCTCTGAATATATTGCAGAGACCAACCATCATGGACCCCTGATCACCTTTGTTTTTTCTCTTCCTCTGCTCCATTTTGCGCAACTTCTTTCTTCACAGCGCACCTTTCCTTCGTGCTTAAAATTTCCATCCCTTCGTTTGGGGCTTTTCAACCCTTCTAGTCCGAAAAAAAACCCTTTCCCCTGCGGTTTTAAGTATCTTTTCCCTTTGGGCCCAATCAGGGCCTTTAATTTTACGGGGAAAAATTACGCGGCCTGGGGGAAATCGGGGTGACCCTTCAATGTTACTCCCCCATTTGCCCCGTTGGTGTTTGCTTACGGAACCAAAATTACACTCTGCTGTTATTTTTTCCCCTTTCCCCAGGCTATAATTTATTGTATTCTTCAGATCCTTTTCTTCCCGATGGGCCCCTTTTAAAAAAAAGTGCCCTTTTTCCCGCACTGATATTCCGACCATAAACTATTTGTTCATACTTCACTGCATTACCAGGCCCCTATCCCCTTACATAGGGGGTATACGCTTGTTCCCTTTATAACCCCTTTTCCTTCTCGGGGGATTTCTATTTTCCCGGGTTTTTCCCTTCCCGTTTTTGTCATTCCGCCTTTGATTCTTTACTTTGGGATTTTTAAAAACCCACCATTTCCCTCCGGGGGGGGGGGCCACTGTGTTTTTTTCCCCTGGGAAATTTAGTTAGAGGCTTTTTCTTTTCCACCCACCCCCCCATGTTTTAAAAAACAGGTACTCCCCCCCATTTTGATTTCCCCGGGGCTCATACTCTCTCTTGCTCGATCCCCCCGTCCGCCTTCCTCCGCCCCATTAGGGCTTACTTGGTCTGTTCTCCCGGGTTGCATGGGCTGATCATTTTTCCCCAAACATTCCTATTCCCCTTTTATATTCGCCCCCTCTTTGCAACCCCCGCTGGCAATTTTAAACGGGGAAATTGGAACCTTTACTCACACCTAATGTTTTTAAAAAGGTTCCCTTTTTCGTCCTTTCCCTCGAGGGGCTTTTTCACCCCCTTTCGTCCTCCGTTTTCACCGCATTTCTCATTCTTACCCAAAAAATTGGGCAGGGATTCCAGAAATGCTTTCCCTTGGGGGTCTCCGCCCTTTTGCTTTGTGCATTTCGGGGTTTAAACGCGTGCATGGGGGAGGTAAAAAAAAGGGACAATAGAACCAAAGAGGGACTCCTTGATTTTTAAACAGAAGCGTGCGAAAACGCTCGCCGTGTCATCCGTGACACTAAACGCACTTGGGTGGCGAGATTAAAGTCCCAAACCCCCCCCCTCTGTTCCTCCCATGGGCAGTCTGGGAAAAAAAAACAAAAATGAGTGGTAAATTTTTCTCCTGACCCGGCTCCTGGGTTTTGCTGGTTGCCGGGGTTGGGTATAAACAAACCCAAATTTTGCCCAAAGAAAATTTGGGAATCATCTGGTCCCCTAAATTTTTCCCGGGGCTCCATCTATGGGGGGCCCCCATTTCCCTTTTCCCCAAAAATCTGCCAGAGAGTTAGCCCCCCTTGGACTTTTCTTCTCCCCCGGGAAAAAGTAAAATGTCCTTTTTAAAAACTTCAAGAACTGGAGGCAAAAACTCTCAGCTTGTCGTCCTCGCAGCTGGGCCCGGCGACATTCATATTCCCTATGCTACAACATTTACATCAGTCAGCCCTTGCAGTCCTATTACGCCTTTACAATCTTATTTGGTCAAAGAGTTCTTCCAACAGCTGTGGAAATCCGCCATTGTTCTCCCTTTCCGCAAACCAGGCACTACGGGACATGAAACTCCCACTATCGCCCATTGCTCTTACCAGTGCAGTTTGCAAAGTAATGGAACGCCTAGTAAATAGACGTTTAGTGTGGTATTTAGAGACACACAACAGTCTCTCCACTCGTCAATATGGCTTTCGTAAGGGACGTTCTACCATAGACCCCTTACTACGCTTGGATACGTATGTTCATAATGCCTTTGCGAATAACCACTCAGTTATTGCCATATTTTTTGACCTTGAGAAGGCATATGACACAACTTGGAGGTATAATATTTTAGCCCAAGCCCACTCCTTAGGCCTTCGAGGCAATCTACCATCCTTCCTTAAGAACTTTTTAACTTTTCTAACTAACCTGTGTTCGGGTTAATAATGTGCTCTCCCCGGACTTTATGCAAGCTGAAGGTGTCCCTCAGGGATGTGTTCTGAGCACAACACTTTTTCTCCTTGCTATTAATGATTTGGCCTCTAGTCTTCCATCAAATATTTGGTCATCACTATGTTGATGACTTCGCTATTGCCTGTGCAGGCGCTGACTGTCACCTCATTACAGTTTCTCTCCAACATGCAGTCGACCGTGTTTCCAATTGGGCCACCACACGTGGGTTTAAATTTTCCAGCACTAAAACCCACCAAATCACTTTCACTAGACGCTCTGTCATCTCCGATCATCCTTTGTACCTTATGGCTCCCGTATCCTGAACGTGATACAGTCAAGTTTCTGGGCCTCCTCTTTGATCGTAGGTTATCCTGGAAACCTCACATTACCTCTCTGAAGGCAACTTGTCACAGCCGGCTGAACCTTCTTAAAACCCTTGCTCATCTTTCATGGGGAGCTGATCGTCGAACCCTCCTTCGCCTACATTCCACTCTTATTTTATCGAAACTTGATTATGGTGACCAGATCTATTCAGCGGCATCTCCTGCTACTCTCTCTAGCCTTAACCCCATTCATCACCAAGGATTACGTTTATGCCTTGGTGCTTTTCGCTCTTCCCCTGTCGAGAGCCTCTATGCAGAAGCGAACGTTCCATCCTTATCCGATCGCCGTGATGCCCATTGCCTGCGCTACTATGTACGCTCTCATGATCTCCACAATCCTTCCATTTATAGAATGGTCACTGATATTAGTAGACATTCTTTATTTGTTCGCCGCCCCTGTTTACTCCGTCCCTTCTCTCTTCGCCTTCATTCGCTCTTGTCTTCTCTTCAACTACCACCTTTCTATGTACATGTAGCATCTCACTTTTCCCTACCCCCCTGGGAAGTTTCAGCTGTTCGAGTCTGTTCTTTCTCCCTCCCTTGCTCGAAAGCCCAACTGTCTACGGTCGCTTCCCGCTCTCTTTTTCTTGACCACTTTCACTCTCATTCTCATGCCATTGCTGTGTACACAGATGGCTCTAGTCTTCTGACGGCGTAGGATTCGCAGCAGTGTTTCCAGACAGCGTCGTACAAGGGCATTTACTATCTTCGGCTAGTATTTTTACTGCTGAATTATATGCCATCCTTACAGCACTTATCCGTATTGCATCTATGCCTGTGTCATCATTTGTGGTTGTCTCAGACTCCCTTAGTGCTTTACAGGCTATACAAAAATTTGATACACCTCGCCCCTTAGTCCTCCGTATCCAACTTTGGCTACGCCGCATCTTTACCAAGCATAAAGATATTGTTTTTTGTTGGGTCCCTGGTCATGTTGACGTACAGGGCAATGAACAGGCAGACACTGCTGCGCGGTCAGCAGTACATGACCTACCAGTTTCTTAGAGGTATTCCATTTTCGGACTATTTTACTGCAATATCTTCCCACCTTCACACCCGTTGGCAACAACGTTGGTCTACTATGCTCGGCAACAAACTTCAATCTATTAAACCGAGTATAGGTTACTGGCCGTCTTCTTATCACCAGTGTCGAGGTTGGGAGACTACTCTCTCCCGTCTTCGCCGCATTGGCCATACTCGTCTTACTCATGGATATCTCATGGAGAGGCGTCTTGCTCCTCTCTCTGAGAATTGCCAAGCTCCATTATCAGTCAGCCACATTCTGTTGGACTGCCCACTTTATCAACGAGCACGCAGAATTTACCTCTGTCGTCGTCTTCGCTCCGCTGCTCTCTCTTTACCTTCCCTTCTCGCTGATGGACCCACCTTTCATCCGGACTCTCTCATTGACTTTTTGACAACAACTGACTTACTTCACAAATTCTGATACCTTCAGCCCTTTCTACTTCAATCTCTTGCTACCCTCTACCCCCGTACTATCCCCTGCCCCGCTGTTTTCTGTAACCTGCTGATCATCCCCCCTCCCATCCAATTCCCTTGCTTCCTTCCCTACCTGCAGCGCTGTATAGCCCTTGTGGCTTAGCGCTTCTTTTTGATAATAATAATATCCATTTTCTTAATGTTTATACATGCCAAGTATTACATTTCTGCTGTTATTGAGTTTGAGTTCATACAGAGTAAAATAAATGTTTTAATAAATGATGAAAACTTTTCAGGTTCTCACAAAGCCAATGCACCCCTTCTAGATGATATTAGCATAGACTCCACAGTGTATGACACTCCAAGCATTGCCAAGAAGAGAAAGGGTCCTCTTCGTAAACTAGGTCGATTTCTTCTCAAGGCCCTTATGTTCATACTTGACTGAAGACTATTGTGTTACTGGTGGACGAAATATAATAGTGCTCAGGAGCCATCGAGAAATCCTAGTCTCAGTGGAGACTGGTTGTTTAAACATCTTGGGTTGTTTCATTAACCAGTACAGGCTGGCATAATGCTCTCTCATATCTATGGAAATAAGCAGCTTCTCTACATTTGCATTATTTCTTTAGTATAAATCAAGAGCCAAGAATATACAGTAGCAGCACTACAGGCAACTGTAAACATGTGGAACACTGATGAATGTTGCAGCAAATGTCTAGTTATTTGTTTAAAACCCGTAACCTATTGCTTTTGTGGTGAAGGCCATAAGTAGTGCTTAGTTATGAAGAGGGTATAGTACCAGTGCTGGGCTTTCCAAGCAGTGATGCAAAGCTTGTGTAAATATATAAGGTAGAAGTAAATGAGCTTAACCGCTGTTATATGTATGGTAATATTGTATTTGGAAATAAAAGCTTATATACTTTAAATTATATGCTGTAATAGTTGCGAGAAAATTTTTGCCTTAAACTCGTCAGACTTTTGATATGACAAAATAAGTATTGAATCATGTAGCATGGCTCATGTTCCTCACATGTCTCCTAGGGAGTGAGGTAACTAGTTAGTGGATGTCTAATTGGTTGATTTGTCATTGATAATGAATTTTTTTAATGGTTTAGAAAAAGAAATTACTAAACATGTAAATACATTATATATAGTGAATACGTTTGGCTCCTGATTGGCATAAAAAAACCGACATTCAGTGAATGTTGAAAATAAGCTTTCTTGGGGTTAATTTACTTGCTCTGCTTTTTTTTTAGGCAAACAGCCAGATCACTTATTGTTATGACAATCTACTTTACAAATATATCATTCTCTTGTGTTCATAGTACAGTACCTTCTTGTCACTGTTTAGACATGTAACCTTGTATTTAATTTTTAGAGATCTGTTCATGAAATATTCTCTATTAGAGCTTCAAAATTACCAAAGTAAGTATTATTTACATACGAAATGATATACGTGAAGTTTGTATACATAGATGTGTACCAACATAATCCAGTGTAAATTAATGAGGACTTCTGTTGAATGGATTATCTACTATTTTATGGCAACTTTGTTTTTTTTTTTTTGTTAGTTTTACTATAATTGAGGTAAGTATTAAACCCATAGGGGGGCATACAGCACAAGGGGAGTTGGAGTTTCTCTCCCCCCCCACCCCCTTACTGTTTGTGTAGGGTTCTTGGTAGGTTGACAGTGTTCAAGACATTTAGTGCTCTTTAATTACTGTGGAACAGTAAATGGTATACATCTGTATTTTATGTTCAAATAAGTCACAACCACTCAAGTTCCTCATTATTACATTTGAAATTATATATTTTTTATTATGTTATGTTGTTAATGCATTAAATTACCTTTTATGAGTTATTGAAAGCAATAAATGTATGACCATCTTTCTTTGAGGGAAATTATGATCTTCAGTCTAGCATGCATTTGTATATATGTGATAATGTGAATACAACATTTTTACTTCACTTGAAGACATTTTGAAGTTCATAAATTAACCTAGCTATGCTGGGATTTAAGTGTTGAACTCTGGTTAATGAAAAGTAAGAAACCTTCAGAAAACAGCCAGCCATAATTATTAGTCAGTGGGTTATACAGCACCTGGAGGAATGAGGTACTCGAGTTTGATCCAAAGGAATCGGGAGCCTGTCACTTATCAAGGAATATCTCTTGCAGGGATGGATAGTGGTATATGAGATTGCATATCTCTGTCAGAGATCCTCTTCAGATTGCTGAAGAGGTCAGGGGGATATTGATCCAAGATATTGGACATGCCCTTCCTGGAATTAAAAAATGTATGCTTCTCATGCCCCAAAGCACTGTATGAGCCCTATGGGTTTAGTGCTCCCTCATTACTGTAATATATTTATGCTTGAATTTCCTGTCCAAGTAGTTTCTTGCTTCTTAGCCTGCCAGTGTTTTGGCAGAGTAAGGAAAACATGTTAATGATTGGTTCTGCAATCTTCCCCTCAAAGAAAAATATTATTGCTAAGAAACTGAAACAAAGTATTTAAAAAATAGCATTAATATATAAGAATACATTTGTGATTACTAGAAAAAGGTATAAATAAAATGCATTACTAATTTTTTAATGCCCTCTATATATGCAATATATATATTGAATTGTTAATAAATTTAGAATTAGAGGCAAGACAGAATGTAGGATTGCAGATGAGCAAGGAGGTTTCAGAGTGGGTAGATCATGTTTACATTGAAACATATGTGAACAGTATTTAGATAAAGGTAGGGAAGTTTTTATTGCATTTATTGATTTAGAAAAGGCATATGATAGTGGATAGGGGAGCAATGTGGCAGATGTTGCAAGTACTATATGGAATAGGTAAGTTTCTAAATGCTGTAAAGAGTTTTTATGAGGATAGTGAGGCTCGGGTTAGGGTGTGTAGAATTATTATTATTATAATCAAAAAGAAGCGCTAAGCCGCAAGGGCATCAGGTGGCAAAAGGGAGGTGGATGAGTAATAGGTTACGGATAACAGCGGAGCAGTGGATGGTGAAAGGGTAAAGGACAGCAAGAGACTGAGCTAGAAAGGGCTGAGGGGAGTGCGTAAGGTATCATCATCAGAGTTTGTGGAGCAAATCAGTCGTTGTCAAGAAGTCAATGAGCGAGTCAGGATTAAAGGAGGGTCCATCAGCAAGAAGGGAAGGTAAAGAGAGAGTAGTAGAACGAAGACGGCGTTGGAGGTAAATTCTGCGTGCTCGTTGATAGAGAGGGCAGTCTAACAGAATGTGGCTAATCGATACTGGAACTTGACACTGCTCACAGAGAGGTACAAGGTGCCTCTCCATGAGATACCCATGAGTAAGACGAGTGTGGCCAATGCGAAGGCGGGAGAGAGTGGTCTCCCAACCACGGCACTGATGACAAGAAGACGGCCAGTAACCTATGCTTCGGTTTAATAGAATTGAAGTTTGTTACCAAACAGAGTTGACCAACGTTGTTGCCAACGGGGGGCGAAGGTGGGCAGCTATTGTAGCAAAATAGTCCAGAAATGAAACACCTCTATAGGAAATTGGTAGGTCATGTACTGCTGACCACGCAGCAGCGTCTGCCTGTTCATTGCCCTGTACGTCAACATGACCAGGGACCCAACAAAAAATAATATCTTTATGCTTCGTAGAGATACGGCGTAGCCAAAGTTGGATATGGAGAACTAGGGGGCGAGATGTATCAAATTTTCGTATAGCCTGTAGAGCACTAAGGGAGTCTGAGACTACCACAAATGATGACACGGGCATAAATGCAATACGAATAAGTGCTGCAAGAATGGCATACAGTTCAGCAGTAAAAATGCTAGCCGAAGATAGTAAATGCCCCTGCACGACGCTGTCCGGAAACACTGCTGCGAATCTGACGCCGTCTGAAGACTTAGAGCCATCTGTGTACACAGCGGTGGCATGGGAGTGGAAGTGATCAAGAAAAAGAGAGCGGGAAGCCACCGTAGGCAGTTGAGCAAGGGAGTGAGAAAGAACAGCTGGAACTTCCCAGGGGGGTAGGGAAAAGTGAGATGCTACATGAACATATAAAGGTGGTAACTGAAGGGAAGACAAGAGTGAATGTAGGCGAAGAGAAAAGGGACGGAGAACGAATAAAGAATGTCTACTAATATCGGTGACCATTCTATAAATGGAAGGACTGTGTAGATCGTGAGAGCGCACATAGTAGCGAAGGCAATGGGCATCACGGCGATCAGACAAGGATGGAACATTCGCTTCTGCATAGAGGCTCTCAACAGGGGAAGAGCGAAAGCAACCAGGCACCAACGAATCCTTGGTGATGGATAGAGTTAAGGCTAGAGAGAGTAGCAGGAGAGGCCGCGGAATAAATCTGGTCACCACAATCGAGTTTCGATAAAACGAGGGCTGAACGTAGGCGAAGCAGAGTTCGACGATTAGCTCCCCAGGAAAGATGAGCAAGGGCTTTAAGAAGGTCTGGGCCGGGCTGTGACAAGTTGCCTTCAGAGAGGTTAATGTGAGGTTTCCAGGATAACCGACGGTCAAAGGGAGAAGGCCCAGAAACCTGACTAACACGTTTCGGGGACACGGGAGCCATAGAGATACAAAGGATGATCGGAGATAACAGAGCATCCATGAAAGTAATTTGGTGAGTTTTGGTACTTGAAAATTAAACCCATGCGTGTGGCCCAAGTGAAAACACGGTCGACCGCATGCTGGAGAGAAACTGCAATAAGATGACAGTCAGCGCCTGCACAAGCAAAAAGCGAAGTCATCAACATAGTGATGACCAAATATTGGGTGGAAGAACAGAGGCCAAATCATTTATAGCAAGGAGAAAAAGTGTTGTGCTTAGAACACATCCCTGAGGACAACCTTCAGCTTGGACGAAAGTCCGGGGAAAGAACATTATTGACTCGAAACACGGAAATGTCTGTCAGTTAAAAAGTTCTTAAGGAAGGATGGTAGTTTTGCCTCGGAGGCCAAAGGGAAAGGGCCTGGGCCAAAATATTTATACCTCCAAGTTGTGTCATATGCCTTCTCAAAATAAAAAAATATGGCAATAACTGAGTGATTATTCGCAAAGATATTACGAACATACGTATCCAAGCGTAGTAAGGGGTCTATGGTAAAAGACCCTTACGAAAGCCATATTGACTAGCGGAGAGACTTTGTGTTCTCTAAATACCACATTAAACGTCGATTTACGAGACGTTCCATCACTTTGCAAACTGCACTAGTAAGAGCGAGGGGACGATAGTGGGAGGCATCATGTCCTGTAGTACCCGGTTTGCGGAAAGGGAGAACAATGGCAGATTTCCACAGCTGGGGAAAGAACTCCTTGTGCCCAAAAAGATTGAAGAGGTGTAAGAGGACTACAAGGGCTGACCGAGTAAATGTTGTAACATACGAATATGAATGTCGTCAGGCCCGCTGCCGATGATCGGCAAGCTGAGAGCGTTACCTCCAGTTCTTGAAGTGTAAAAGGCACATTATACTGTTCTTCTCCGAGAGAAGAAAAGTCCAAGGGTACTAACTCTCTGGCAGACTTTGAGGAAAGAAACGAGGGGCATAGATGGAGCCCTCGGGAAATACGGACCAGATGTGTGCCAAGTTCAATGGCAACGTCGAGAGGGTTTGCTACATCAACACCAGCGACCCGTAGAACAGGAGCCGGGTCAGGAGAGTATTTACCACACTGCACTCATAGAAGAAGCAGAGGTGATGGTGGAAACATAGTCTCGCCAACAAGTGTGTTTAGCTTCACGGATGACACGGTGAGCGATCGCACGCTTCTGCTTAAAATCAAGAAGTCTCTCAGCGGTTCTATTGTACCGGTACCTGCCCCATGCAGCTCGTTTCAAACGTACTGCATGAGCACAAGCAGGAGACCACCAAGGCACGCACTTCTGAGAATGCCTGCCTGAGGTATAGAATGAGAAGCTGCGGTATAAACTGACGTCGAGAAGATGTGTAGGAGCTCATCAATGGAGGATGAAGAAGGAACCTCACTAAAAGCAGTGAGTAAAGATCCTGATCAAATTGCCAGCGAGGGCTACGGAAAGGTGGTGAATAGGAAGAAGTAAGAATGATCGGAAAATGATCGCTGTCATGTAAGTCCGGTAGAACAGACCAGGTGAAGTCTAGTGCAGTGGAGGAAGAGCAGACTGATAGATCAATGCAAGAGAGAGTATGAATACGAGGATCAAAATGGGTGGGAGTACCCGTATTTAAAACATGGAGGGGGTGAGAGGACAAATAGTTGACAGTACAGAATATCATTGCGTAGAAGAAGGGCACTTTCATTAAAGGTCCCATCTGAGAAAGGATCCGAAGAATACAATAAATTATAGCCTGAGATAGGTTGGAAAACAGCCGAGTGTAATTTTGGTTCTTGTAAGCAAGCACCAACAGGGGAAAACCTGGAAAGCAACATCTGAAGCTCACCCCGATTACCCCTGAGGCCGCGGATATTCCACTGTAAATAGGCCATGATTGGCGATGAAGAAAATACCAGGAATCTGTAGGTAAAGGCACCTAGACTAGAGGGGTTAGAAAAGTCAATGTGTGGTGGGATTTGGGAAAACGTTCAAGTAGCGAAGGAACGAGCGTTGCGAAGAAGGGGTTGTGAAGATGGAGGAGAGGGAAGAGAAGGAACAGGAAGTGAATCAGTGTCCATTGAAGGTTTAGTCTGCAATATATTCTGAAATGGCTTCAAGTGTTTCTGAATTCAAAGATGTATGGGAGACCATATTGGAGATAGAAAGAGGAGGGTGAAATAAAGATTGGGGCAGTAATGGACTGTACCAAAGTAGAGGGGGAGGGAAGAGTGTAAGGGACTGGAGATGAAGTGTTGGGGGGGACAGAAGAGGCAGAAACCTGGGAGGGGACGGGGGTGGAAGGCATAGTACGAGGAGGAGGGTAAATCTCCCCACTTGTAATAGAGCCAGAGAGAGGGAAGAACTAGGTACAGAGACTGGAAAGGAAAGTATGGAGGTGGAAGAAGGGAAGGAAAGGGGGAAAGAAGATTTGGGGCAATGTGGATTTTTTGGACTTCTGAGAAGTAGAGGGGCGATTGGTATTTAGGTTGTCCCTACGAGGTCTTGTCGATACTGGGGCTTGTGGGAAGGACGCGAAGATTGAGAACAGACTGAGTTGTAGTCGGGACGTCAGAGCCAAGGACAGCAAAAGGATTAGATGCCGGAGTGGCTATGGGGGGTAACAACAAGGAGCTGCAGAAGATGGGACCCAGAAGTTTGGGGGGTGTTTGGAAACACGAGAATAAGAAACACGGGGTAGTCTCCCTTGGAGGCGAGATGAGTAACTGCTATAGCATAAGGGAGACCTTCTGCCTCTTCGAGCAATGATTTCACATTCATTTAAGTAGACCTGGCAACGGCGGGAGTACGAAGGGTGAGCTTCATTACAATTAAGGCAAGATGGGGGTTGACTGCAAGATTATTAGAATGGTCGTCGGCACCACAGACTGGGCATTCGGCCATAGATCTGCAATATTTCGCTGGGTGACCAAAACGCCAGCAATTTCTACATTGTTGCAGTGTAGGTATCACCTTTCGAACTTGTAACCGATGTCCCGCGACATATACAGAGGACGGGA